TAAAATTTAATTAACAATATGTAAAATATAGATAGTACGAATATGGTTTTCACTTGTATAAAGTGAAAAATATCAGTCTTATGTACAGTACATATTACAATATTATGCAGTTTGAAGGAAAAATAAGTAATAAAAATATTGTCCAAATATACGAGCTCTAAGACGGCTTTTCTTTTTCACTAGACTTATTACACAAAAAATCAAATTAAGAGAAGAACTTCAACATGAACTATTTAAATATAAAACCAACAAAAAGAGGAAAAACAAAATTATTAGGTATAAGAGTAATATAGAGAACCTAAAAAATTTTTTAAAAGATAACAACTTATTAATTGTCAAAGCGGATAAAACGAAACAAATAATAATACTGAGTAAGGATCAAGATGAAACCATCTACAGGCAATTACTTAATCAAAATACGTATACGGAACTTACTAACAACCCTATTGACTCGCTCACCAAGAAATTAAAAACTACCCTTGAAAAACTTGAAAAACAAAATCTTATTAATGCGGCTGAAAAGCAATTTGTCTTAAGAAATGATAATAGAATACCGAAGTTTTCCTATAGAGTCAAAACTCATAAAGATCCTATTACTTATAGACCTTTAGTAGACATAAAAGGCTATATATTTTACAACCTTGAATTACTTCTAAAGGAGAAATTAAACGTTTTAGAGAAGTCCCTTCATAGTATAAATAGTACCGATAACTTCATACAAAAATTAAATACTGTAACGTTTAAACCAAGCTATAGGCTAGCCTCACTTGATGTACGCAACATGTATCCATCGATAAAGCAAAACAGAATCTTAAAAACTTTGAAGACCTACAACTGTAACCAATGGATCATAGACATGACAACCCTTGTGTTGGAAAACAACTACTTCAAAAACGAAGGGAAATTCTATAGGCAAAATGATGGTATCCCGATAGGTTCGGTAATAGGCCCCGTTTTAGCTGATCTCAGCATGACCGACATTGATAAAAAGGTTGCAAGCATTACGGGCATAAAAAACCTTCAACGCTATGTGGATGACTGTTTCATTGTTTATGACAGTAACATTATAAACACTAACCAGATTCTAGCCCTTGTTAATGAAATAGACCCTAATATAAAANTATACCACTGTATTTGCTTATTGGTTTAATAAATGCAAGCGCTATGTGTTCTCAACTTTACCTGTCCCAACCTCATCCCCTATTCTTCATAACCCTCACTCTTCCTTCCGAACTTTCCAACCTCCAGGTTGTACCTTTGAGTGATATCTGGAGGACCTCCCCTCCTTCAATTAATAATAATAATAATATAATTTTTTGCTTATAGCATAGTTTATACAGATTATTCCCAAAAAATTATACGTGTTTTGGAAATGTTGAGTGGAATTAGTCTAGAATCAATTAATTTTATAGAAAAAAAACCTTTCAAACAGCCTTAGTCCGTAAAGTTCACACCTATCGGGCTGCGATTGGCTCATGTATTTAATCATTCCTACAACGTAAAATTCGATTAGCGTGGAACGTATCTAAGCGTTATAGGGGGGGGTCTACTGTATAATTTTTCTCAAATATCTAATGAAAAAGACTAAGCTTCAAAAACCTAAAATAATGACTTCCAGATATCACCTTTAATTTTCACAAATATAAATAATGATGATAAAAACTGTGCAATGTCTGAAAATGATCTATCTTAATATCATAATTTTCTGGTGTAACAAATACAATATATTTAAAAAAATAAACAGTAAAAGTGGAACAATAGAAATACAATTTCAACAAGAATTACTGGACCCCTAAATTCAGTACTCTGGGATAAAAATATTGTTAGAGTAAGAGAAAGAATATATATCATACAGTACTTATTAAGCTGACTTATGGATCTAATCCATAAGTCAGGTTAATAAGTACCATTTGTATGGATCTAATCCAGTAAGTCCAATATGGATCTAATCCATAAGTCAAAGTAATAATGGTCAACTATCATCTTAGAAAAAATTAAGAAAAATAAACACTTAATGCAGTTTGGTCATGTAAAAAATAATCAGTTCTGAAATTCTACTGAAGAAAGCAATGGACTAATAGCTACAAGAGAAAAGGAAATGAAGGAAATGTTGGATTGAAAAAGGAGTTTACATTCAAATTTAGGTGAAAAAGAATTTGAGAAAAAATTTTGGTCAAAGAAAATTAGATCAGTAATGGAAAGGATAAGTTTAGTAAAGAGATGAATAAAGAATGTTTGAAATCTAATTAGGACCAGTCAACAATATCAAACAAGCTTGGTCAAGCTGATCTAATAGCACACTCCACAAAAGTGAATCAAATATTAATTTTGTTTAAAATAAATTTTATAAATTATTGGAATCAAGTAGTAGTTGTGTATGCACGTGGACATGCACAATAAATGGATTGAATGGAACATAACCCGTAACAAAAGTGAAGTCATTGTGCATGTGCATAGAAATCAGATAGACAAACAAAAGTCATAACATAAGCATTTCACCACTATAGTGGAACGTGCTAAAAACTGGAATAATAATAAGTTTTTCATACATGGAATTTATTGTAAAGAAACAGTTCATCTGAAATCAACATGTATTGCAAATGAATAAGAAAATGGTACTCAAGTCAAATAGAAAACTACATTACATCTAATATGAACACAACAAAAAGTTTCATACAAATATACTGTTGGCTTACTATTAGCCTAAAACTAAATTTTTATTAAAATCTTTCATTAATACGTTTTACCCCTTACATAATAAATAAAATATTTGTTCCATGGACAAACACAATTTGCAATATATTGATATCAATTACCTCCATATGATATATTTTATGGAAGAGTTATCTAAAATACACTTTAAACATTTCGTTAAGTAATTTTGCATTTATCTATAATGAATTATAATAAATGAAAAAATTTTTCTATAAATTATGAGAACCAGCCTTTAGATATAAAAGAACATATTTATGTGATTAAAATAGAAAATAAAATACTCACATCTACAGAAACAGATTTAGAAGATTTAAGTGGAGGTGTGTTTGGTCTCCAGGACGTGTGATCCTCTTCTGCATTTAAATCTGTAATTTTTCTTAAATCTGAAATACTTCTAGAGTTTCTGATTACAGAAGCACTTAACGAAGAATAAGGGGAACAGTTAGAATCTTTATCACTAAAGTTATATGTATTATTAAATAGGGCACTACCCTCAGTTGGTGGATTTCCCAATGAGGCCGAATACATCTTATAAGAATTTTCTAGAGTATTTTGTTTCAAGCATGGGTTACTTGTCACCGATGTGGCAACAAACTGATTTGCAGAGTGATTTTGATGGCGCACGGCCGATTCAAAGATGGGTTGTGAAAGCGTGCGTTTCATAACAGTTCTATCATTTCCGAACTGAAATCTGTTTTGAAATTCCCAATTCGTGTGGCAAATACCTACATCTAATGAAACATTCGAAGGGTTATTTCGTTCGAGAGCATTATTCGTACTGTGTTTCACAACATTCATGTCTTGGAAGACACTATTCAACTCTTCTAAATCATTGATAGTTTGGAGTTCTACATAATCAAACGGACTGGTAGATTCACTTTCAAAGTCAGAAATATTAATATTTTTTAATCTAACATTTTCTAACCCATTACTTACTGACTGACAGGGAACTTGTTGAGGTTCTAGTATTGAATGTATTTGCCATTTTGGAACAAAATTTGCATTCACAGGTATATCACTGTCTGTCTGTTTTTCACAGCTGTCACTTTGCATTACCCTTTCTTCACTATCTGGCAATTTTAATTCACTCAAAATATCCGGTTTCGTAAATTCTGTTTCGGAAGCCATATTTTTCCTTTTTGCATCTTCCACTTCTTTTATTTCTTGTCTGTAATTTTCTGTCCATTTCAAAACTTTGTTTTCCAAAGAAAAGTCATACTGTAAAGAAAGTTCAAAATCAATACTTGTATTTAAAACTAAGTTATTATATTTGTTTATATTAATTTAATTATTATTATTTTTAACTTATAGATAAATCATTTGGTAAGTAATGCAATGCTTGGGTGAAAATATTTTTTCTAAATAATTATAGATAATTTAATCCAAAAAGTGTCTCAAATCAGTATTTAAAAAAATTTATTATGAAATGCTTTTAAATCAATATAAATTAAAAATTCTATCTTAATTTTTAAATTTTGATAAGATAGAAATTAACATAATTTAAAATCAAATTATATTTGTTCTTAATCAGTTAGTACTCAATGAAATGAAGCTAAGTTCTATCAAGTACATGATAGTCTTAAAAAAAATCATTTTAATTATTTTTTAATGATTCAGAACAGTCTGAGGAAGATAGAATAACGCAGTTTCAGAAATTTGTCATCTGTAAAGTAAGAGATTTTCCTTTCTTAAAAAGAAATGTGATAATTCAAATAAAAGTATTTTGGAAAAATCCACTAACTTGGTTTACAAGTTAACTGACTGCCCATAAATCAAACAGAACACAATTGTTCTATAAAAAGCATTCCTAAATTGCCCAGCTATATTAAAACCAAACTTTTTTTTTTTATAGTAAATATTTTTAATATATGAAATTCAACAGAAATGAAGGTAAACATATTGATCTATAATATTGTAAGTAATAAAACTAGTATGAAACTCCCTTAAACTGTTTTGTCTTAACATTTAGGAAACATCATATTTTTTGATGCTGAAATATTTAAAAATTGCATTTGCTGTGTATATATTTGCAAACAATACTTTGGATGTACGTTTTGTTTAAAACTTTCATACTACTGAATATTTTCAAATATTTTTTTATATCTCATTATTTTTAAATTAGTTTCTACAATTATCAAACATTTATTAAATAACTAATACAGGTATCAAAATATACAATTTTTTTCTCTTTACAGATGTAAATTGTATATTTACATCTGTAAAGAATAATTGACAGAATCCACTCATCAATGATAAATGATTCCTTAAAAAAAATAAATCATAAATCTCAAAACAGTTTGAAATGTTTAGAATTTATTAAGATTAAACAATTTTTCAGAGTAAACTGTCTCATATTAAATCTAATATTCCAATCTTAGCCTTTCCAAACATCAAACATAAATAAAATGAAACGAAGATATTTTAAATAATTTTGAATAAATTTTTTCAAAAATTTTTGTATATTGGTTATAAAGTTGTAATTCTATCTCTGGTATCATGAAATAACATTATAACTAATACCCAAGGGTCAAAATCACTTTATTATGATTCTGTCATGATTGTAAGCTTCTCTACAATCCTTAGAAGAAAGAACATTCCTTGAATTAGGCACTGCAAAATCTGCCAGCTCTATCTGGTTTTAACACTTCTAAATTTCAATGTTTTAGAAACTGTCAATTGGTTTAAATATATTCTTTGAAGAGTTTAAAATTTTTGAAATTCTTTGATTTGTTTACATTTAATAAAATTGTTCAGACTGGAATATTAGATCTTATGGCAATACAGTTTTGTCCTGAAATGTTTAATGTTTATAAATCTCAGAATTTTATGGTTAAAATGGAGGATAATGTGTTTCAATATTAAAAACGAAAGAAAGTGCAAAAGTAAATTAGAAAAATCATAAGTATTCATAACGCAGTAAAATAATTTTATATTTGCAATGTAGATACATTCAAGGTTAAAAAATTTTATTCAAACTTTACAGCCTCAAGATATTGATAAAGAATGCAGCTATGAAAATGCCAGCATCAAGTATAATTTCTTAAAATCTAAATTAACTGAAAGTTTTATTTTTGTTTTATAAATAAAACATATAATCTACATTACAGATCATTACTCAAGAACAATTATATTCTGTATTCTTTGTAGTAATCCACATTAAAGTGAATGTTTTATTTCTTATGTTAAGCAATAAAAAGTTCACTTAAGTAAAAGACTTTTTATCTTTAGTGAAATGGCAGTCCCTTAAATTAGATTAAAAATCAAAATTTTATAACTCACCTCTTCTTTCAGCAATGGTGTCAGATCGGGAATATGACAAGCAATGGGCAACATGACTTTTCTTGGCGGGCGGTATTTTTCAATAACTTTAATAGGAATACCATCTATATAGCTGAAACCTTAAAATAAAAATTAAGTTATATAAAAAAGTATATTTTAATTATATAAACTTCAAGTAGTTCTAATTAAAATTACCATCTTTCTTTCCATGAGCCATTGAAATATTTGTGAAGCTAATCTCCTTTAAGGGCTGTCTGAAATGCAAATAAAGGATAAACTAAATTAAATTTCCTCCAAATTCTTGTTAATATATAATTTTATAAAACTTAAATGTCAATAACTCCGATGAATAATCCTGTACAAATTTAAAGAATTTCAGTGAGACAAATTTCACAACTGAATTCATATTAAAAAAGAAAATCACTCAAGCATACAAGTAAACCCTTGACAATTGTTACCAATAAAATTATAGTGTTTACTTTAAAAATAAATCATTCTTACAGGAAGTACAAATAATAACAGATTACTTAATATATTTTTCAATATAACGTAAGAAAAATCTAAGAATTTACATCACAATAATCTAACGATTAATCAAGGAGAATAATTTTTTTTATGATAGAAACACAAGCTGGCACACAGCCAAGCAACTACAGTAGCAATATTTTAGAAGGAAAAAAAAACTTTATAAAAATTATCAGTTTCCTATCTTTTTGTAATTATAAGAACCACAAATTTAATCAATAATTACCATAAAAATCTCCAACATTTGTTTAAGCCACTTCTTATAAAATTATCAGCTTATATTGCACTAATTAATCAATTGATAATGCATTAAAATAATATAACTTCGACATAAAAAAAAAACCATCGCAAACATTATTTATAACTGCTATTAGTACATGAATAATTTTTACGACAATAGCTATTCTTTACTGATAAGGAATGACAAAAGTTAGAAGTGTACAACTTCCCTTTTAAAGAATTTCCTCCTTTTACAATCCCATTAAATTTTTTCACATTAAAATAAATTAATATAAATCCAATTGTCTTACAAATTAACAATATTTTACCATAAAACCTAAAAATTAGATACTTTAATAAATAATTGTTAATATAACTATTAACTGTTTAAATTTTAAGCAAATTTTGTATACATTTGAAGGAACATGTTTATCTACAAATTTGTTATGCTAGTTCATTACGATATCAATTAGATTATCTTAGAAAATTTCAGACATGTTGACCAAACGACTATTTACAGCCATGTAGGAAGCTATTTATTACCGTAAACAAACACAGAAGAAATATGTCAAAGTTTATTTTCACTATCTTACACAATTCAGAGATATAATTTTGATTTTATAATGAGACAGCATTTTCAGTTAAACATAATTTAATTTTTTTAGTTATATCAATAATAAATTTAACAGTTATTACATTAGATAACAATTAAATGTAATACAGATTAAAATAAATCGGGATATAAATGATAAAATTTAATTAACAATATGTAAAATATAGATAGTACGAATATGGTTTTCACTTGTATAAAGTGAAAAATATCAGTCTTATGTACAGTACATATTACAATATTATGCAGTTTGAAGGAAAAATAAGTAATAAAAATATTGTCCAAATATACGAGCTCTAAGACGGCTTTTCTTTTTCACTAGACTTATTACACAAAAAATCAAATTAAGAGAAGAACTTCAACATGAACTATTTAAATATAAAACCAACAAAAAGAGGAAAAACAAAATTATTAGGTATAAGAGTAATATAGAGAACCTAAAAAATTTTTTAAAAGATAACAACTTATTAATTGTCAAAGCGGATAAAACGAAACAAATAATAATACTGAGTAAGGATCAAGATGAAACCATCTACAGGCAATTACTTAATCAAAATACGTATACGGAACTTACTAACAACCCTATTGACTCGCTCACCAAGAAATTAAAAACTACCCTTGAAAAACTTGAAAAACAAAATCTTATTAATGCGGCTGAAAAGCAATTTGTCTTAAGAAATGATAATAGAATACCGAAGTTTTCCTATAGAGTCAAAACTCATAAAGATCCTATTACTTATAGACCTTTAGTAGACATAAAAGGCTATATATTTTACAACCTCGAATTACTTCTAAAGGAGAAATTAAACGTTTTAGAGAAGTCCCTTCATAGTATAAATAGTACCGATAACTTCATACAAAAATTAAATACTGTAACGTTTAAACCAAGCTATAGGCTAGCCTCACTTGATGTACGCAACATGTATCCATCGATAAAGCAAAACAGAATCTTAAAAACTTTGAAGACCTACAACTGTAACCAATGGATCATAGACATGACAACCCTTGTGTTGGAAAACAACTACTTCAAAAACGAAGGGAAATTCTATAGGCAAAATGATGGTATCCCGATAGGTTCGGTAATAGGCCCCGTTTTAGCTGATCTCAGCATGACCGACATTGATAAAAAGGTTGCAAGCATTACGGGCATAAAAAACCTTCAACGCTATGTGGATGACTGTTTCATTGTTTATGACAGTAACATTATAAACACTAACCAGATTCTAGCCCTTGTTAATGAAATAGACCCTAATATAAAATTTGACTTAGAACCTGAAATTAACTGCCAGTTACCTTTCCTTGACATCCTCGTCACTAGGCTTAACAACAAAACCACCTTTAAAAAATACAAAAAACCTTGCACCGTTGACAGTATCATACACTACACTTCTGAGGTACCCTCTTACATAAAGAAAAACATTTTTTACATGTACATTGACAAAATTGTACAACGCACCACTAGTGAAACTGATAGAACTGAGGAAATACAAGATGTAATAAAGACATTTTTAATGAATGGTTACAACAAAAGCACACTCAACAAATGGCTCAATATCAAAGGTACTAAAAAACACAAAAACAATAACACCACTCAAAAATATTTTAAAATTCCATATGAACAAAACTTATTTGAAAGAATCAAATCCGTATCACATAATTATGGTATAACCTTAGCACCAGAAAAGTTTCCCTGTTTAAATTACAAGATAAACCCACATAGTACTAATAATAATACTAATATATGGGACCAAAAAAACATAATTTACAAACTCAGCTGTAACTGCACTAATCCAAAGTCTTATATAGGTGAAACTGGTAGAAATCTGAAGACCCGATTTAAAGAACACATAGCCGCAATTAAATATAATAATTGTAACTCAGCTGTTGCTGTTCATTGTAACAATGAAGGTTGTCAAATCTTAAAAGAAAGTGTAAAAATTGTCAAAAAAGAATTACATACACAGAAAAGGAGGTGGTATGAACATCTTGAGATCCTTAAAAACAAAGACAGTGTAATGAATAATAATATTGGTCAAAAACTACATGAAACTTGGTATCCATACTTGACCAAAAGAAACTCAGAAGGGGGTGTCAATAGCACTTAATTAATGTGTTAGATTTCGGCACCCAGCAGGGCACCCATATGTCTCACTTTCCCTTCCTCCTCCACTCTTCTACAATTCCCTAACCCCTCAAAACACCTGTTTTTTTCGATCCCCCTTCCCTTATGTCCACCCCACCCACTACCTCTCTCCTCCTTCTCAAGGGGATGCCTTCCTAATGCATCCTCTCCCACTTACAATTTATGGACCATCCCACCCTAGGAAACTCTACTGTAAACTAAAACAATCTGTTTTTGTTCCCTCCTTTCTGATTCTGTTAACTCAACATTGTGTCATGCTTACTGGGATAATTTTTTTCAACACTATGTACCAGGCCGTCACGTTTGCTGTAAGTTCAAAAAATTTTTTTTTACATCTATGTTAATTGTTCCCTATTGTAAATCTTTTCCAATTTAATCATTATTGTAGCTGGTACCGGTTAAGTAATAATCACCATCCATATTTTTTCTAATGTCACAACTCCTGCGTTTCTCATAGTCCATGTAAGTCTCATGTATGTTCTTTTACAATTTTATAACATTATTGTAAAAAATTTTTTACTAATTTGTACCCGTTATGCTAATTTTTCCTGCATAGTTGTAACACGAGTTGAAAAGGGATAGAATTATCCGAAATGCATTCTCAAATAAATAAAAAATTTTTCTAAAGTTTGTTTTCCATTTCATTGATGGTGTAATAAGTCTAGTGAAAAAGAAAAGCCGTCTTAGAGCTCGTATATTTGTACACAAGACTAGACAAGAAGCATATTGCATAAAAATATTGTCATCAAAAATTATATAGCATGTTTACAACTTCTTTATATAAATGGTTAATTTTTATTCTAAAACATTGCTGAAGAAAATATTAAGGACCAAACAGTCCATTGTATTAATCTTTAGAATTTTGCATGATCCTTTGCTTAATGAAAAATTTCCTAATTATAAAATAATCTTAAAAACTATATTCCAGTTAACCAATTTTTGGACCACTCTAAATGTCTAGAAACAATTGTGCTTTAGTACAAGATGAATCTTTTTTATCTTTAGGCCAAAAAATTCCTTTGTCAATAGTTAAATTTTACTCCCAAAATAATCTAGCTTCCACTATGACTCTTAAAAAAATCAGGCTACATTTAAAAATTTCACAAAACAATTTTTTAAAAATTTTCACATAAAATCAAAAGAAAAAAAAAAGGATTTTGGCATCTTTCTTCATCCTTTTCACACATCATGATCAAATATTCTTATGGCAGAGTTGATTTTATTGTAGGCTCTTATCTGCCTCAATATGTAAATCATGTAAAATAAATTTTCCTTTGGCAATGGCTAAAATCATAAATGTGTATATATTACCATTAATAAAATTAGTGAACAGTAAGCTTGTCAATTTTTAAAATGATGATGATGAAATAGAAGTTGTACCTTCAAAGGTGGAGGTCCTGGATGTAATAGTCGAAAAGAAAGTGTGGTTTGCTTTGAGATAATCTTTTTTTCTTAATAAATTTCTCTATAGCACTTTAAAAGTTCACTCATCCCACATTCAACTTTATTAAAATGTTCAGTATTTGGATCCATAGCCTCAAGTTCCAACATAGCCGCATTAATTTTGGAGAACACACTAGCTAACCCATGTACCGTGACATTTCTTTTTCACTTCTCCAGTTTTTTCCTCCTCTTCCGAATGCTGCATCGCTTCTAACTCTATTAAATTCTCATTTGTTAGCTCTCCATCATCATAATCCATTAATTCAGCAATATCTTCCACTTCAACATCTAAATTAAGTGCATTGGCAAGGCCTGCAATTATTTGAATTACATCAGTTTGTTCAAGATTGTCAAACAATTAGATATTGTTCATGAAACTTTTTATGCATTTTTTCCATATGCCTTGCATACACTTATCTGTCACTTTGTCCCAAGCCGATTTAATGTTTTTAATGCAATCTAAAATATTGTACAATTTCCAAAAATCACAAAGGGTTACTACATCATTTTCTGTTACTGCTACAGCTTGGGAAAAAGTCATACACAAATAAAATGCTTTGAATGTAGCTATAGTGGCCTGATCCATTGGCTGTAGGAAAACAGTTGTGTGGAAAATACACTATCTTTATGTCAGGGTGTAGATCATCAAGGTGTCCTGAAGGTGGCCTGGAGCATTATCAAGCAGGAAAATAATTTTAAAAGGAACTCCCAATTTCAAACAATAATACTGGACTGAGGGTATGAAGCAGTTCAAAAATCAATCTTCAAATAACAATTGTGTCATCCATGCCTTTTTATTTGCATGATAGTAAACAGGCAGACTGTTTTTACTAACGTTCTTTAATGCACATGGGTTTACGGAGCAATAGATCAGGAAAGGCTTTAATGTGAGCCCAGCAGCATTCCCTCCCAATAACATGATCCTGTCTTTAAAAGCCTTGAAACCGGGCATTGCCTTAGCTTCTTTGTGCATATAGGACCTTTCAGGCATTTTTTTTCCCACCAAAGCCTGGTTTCATCCACATAGAATATCTGTTTCAGGCAGTAGAAGTCTTTTTTAATTATTCCATCCAATTCATCAACAAATTTTTGTGCTGCTTCTACATCCACACTTGCCACCTCACCGCCGATTCTCCAATTATGCAGGTTGCATCTCTGCCTAAATCGTTGAAACCATCCAAGGCTTGCTGTAAATGATTCTGTTGATTTTTTGCCTTCACGTGCCTTTAGTCTCAAAGATACTGCATGCCTTAGCTTGAATTATTAAAAAGCTTATCAGCATATTATTTTGCATCTGGTTGTCAAACCAGATCGCCATTAATTTCTCCATCTCATGAACAAGACCTTTCCATTGCTTAGTTATTATAGCTTCAAATCTTGTCGATGATTTCACTGCCTCTTTCACTCTAAGTTTATCCTTTAAAATCGTTGAAATTGTCAAATGTGCCAATTTCAAGTCACATGCTATTTCTTTAACCGTTTTACCAGCTTTGTAGTCTTGTATGATTTTATTTTCATTTCAAGGTCGATAGTTTTTTTTTTTTTCATTTCTTAACAATTTTTCCAGATGATACCATACTTTTTCTTTTCATCGACATCTGTATTATTTTGGGGTTACAAATATGTAAAAAAAAAAAAAAATTAAGGTTACACAGTGTCTGCTTGTCGGAATGAAATTGACTGAAGAAGTGCATAGCAAACCTATATACGCTCAGTGCGCATGTCACCATTCCCCACTGACCGACACTCAAGCTGAGAAAGGGGATTCCCCGAAATTACAACTGCAGGTCAAAACTTGATTGGTTGTAAGTGCAAGTGGTCGTTAAGCAGATAGGTCGTAAAGTGAGGAGTACTGTACTAGTAATGTATAGTTGATATCCATCTTTTCTTTCCTTCAATTGGTGACAAACAGAAGAGACAACTTCCTATAAAATTTCTATATATATTGTATTAATATTGTATATTGGCTGATATACATTATTAATATACAGAGATTTTTATATGAAGTCGTTTGTTTACTCAATGACAAAACTAAAAAAAAAACACATTAATAACGATCAGTCTGGCAATAAGCCAGGATGATATGTTAACTAGCCTCTGGCTTTGGTTTTATTACTACTCATACTAAATTTATTAATCTAATATATCTTATATTTGGTACTTGAAGAAATCTGTTTATTCAATTCTTTCAATTAAATTTAATAGTGAAATATAACCTTATCTTTATATGATTTTGGTTTTTTAAGTGGTTAAATGCATTAATTTTTGTGTGATTTGAAATCCACTCAGATACTTTTATTAATAAAAAATAAATGTACATAAAACTTTCTAAATTAAATTTATAAATTTCAGAATTTTAAGCCAAAACAATATAACCAAATAATTGATAAAAATTTTTTATCTTAAATGCGTAACTTTAACCAATTTAGAACTGAACACAAAAACCACACTATAACCTTTGATAAACCAGCAGTTTCAATTTAATAAACTTCAGCTAACATTCATCACCATGTTTGATGGCCAAGCTGCTTGAAAAGTTGAACAAATGATGACCACATGGAGATTTCAATAGGGTTGAGAAGAACTTGTGATTGCAATAGATGTATATAATTATTTGTCGCTAAAATATGCCTCATTTATTCTGTTTGTTTTAATTAAATGCTACAACCAAATGTAATGAATGGCTTTGTTTTAAATACAGTAGAACCTCGATTATCCGGACTAATTGGGGATGAAGGTAGTCCGGATAAGGAAAAATTCGGATAATCAAAACAAATATTTTGTCTTTTAATGATAATACAACACGTTTTCTTTTCGATGACATATCGGTAATATTAAAAGTAAATACTGTATTTAAATCGTGATCAAGTTTTCAAGAAACAAACGTTCGTATTGAATTTGGACTACTACTGACCAATGCTAACAGACTACCTATTGTTTAAAAGGCCCTCTGGTGGCACAAGAAGACGGATTTTATAAAATAAAAAGCAGTTGAAACTGCATTTTTATGAATAAAAATTTGACAAACTATTTATCGTTTTATGCAGAGTAAAATTTTTTTGTCGCGTTCGCGACTTTTAAGTAATGCATAAACCTTCGAGGCGCGAGGCCCTTTGGACCGCCAGGCATAGGCGGTGGCCCACGTTGCCCATGCCTTACACCGCCCTTGGTCATAGAAATGATGTAATTTGAAAATAAAATTATTTATAAATACTTATGTCAAGTTATATTTTTATTACGACGCAAAATATATTTAAGAGTTTATGGCCACTGTGCTGGGTGAGACGTTGTTGAAACAAAAAAAGTTATGCATTCCATCACGTACATAAACAGTATCGTAATTCGCCAAGTGCAAATCAGCAAATTCGTAATATTTTTATTTTGAACAATCCGGATAATCGAGGTTCTACTGTATAAGTTTAATTCACATTCAATGTTCTTTTAAATATTTGTATCAATTTCTGTCTAGTATCCAGATAGAAAAATGATGATAAACATTCAACTTACATGAAAATAGCAGAATTTAAAGCTTGTCTGGTCAGATGGTTTATGCAGACGTATCGAACTTGAATTGAAATTTATTAATCGTAACCACTTCCAAGAAATGATGTGCCTATAATCACTTATAATTGATTTAATTTGATTACCTCAATTGTAATATAGTGAATTACAGCAGTTAAATAAATTAAACTTAATTATTTTTGTGGTTCTTTCAGATTTTTTTTTTCCAGATAAGTCTAAATCTTTACCTTCGCTGAGATATTCTTAGATTTTTTAGAGAGAAAACTGGAAGTGTGACTACTTTGTCTGTTACTGATACTTAATTTTAGTTCAAAACCCTGTGTATCTTCTATTTGTATTACACAGCCATGCCACTAAATGATGGCCATTTTTCAGGAACATTTCTATTTGAAATGCAAATACAGTAAAATAACCTCCAAACAACTCACATTTCTTACATTTTGTCAGTGGCCATTGTTCAGAAATTTGACTGTATACAGTATTTTTCTACATTGAAAATTATATGAAATGAAGTACTGTACATCATTTCTTACTCTTTTCAATCAAGGTAGCATATACAGAATGACCCGAAATATCAATGAAGCAAATGAAGCATTAGTAAGAATAAACAGTTGTTCCAAACTAGTTTCTAACTAATCTTCAAACAATCTTAACACAAATTTCTAACAAACCTTAAAAAATCTTGTTTAACTGACTTTTGGACCATCCTATATATTACAAGTTGTTCTATTAAAA